TAATATGATAAACTATATGATAATAATTGATTAATATTGATTTGGCAATATAAATATAATTTGAAAGTCGCGCGTTTTTTCATGTTTAAATACAATCACGTGATGATGCAAATGTGACGTCACGATATCAATTGCGCGAAGATCATTTCGTTAGTCGATGGCAATAATGGTGGACCAAGGCGAGCAGTGTCTTATGTTCGCGTACATTTTTGTTTTTTCGAAATAAATTTTGCGCGCGACGAATATCGTGGGTATTAAATCTAGCAACGAACGATTGCCGTGTAGTATTGAATCAGTGTACACATTTGTAATTTCTAGTTTTTCGACATTCGTAAAACTAGTCGCGTTGATCGCATCGTGTCGGATATCGTTAATCGAAGTAACGAATTAATGCAAAGTTTCGTCGTCTTTCGAATTCTTAAATATACCTCGGGAGTGTCGGAATTGTCGAATCCACGGTGAGATCGTTATGAAGTATTAGTGCGCGTATAGTCACGATCAGTCTTTCGTCATTTTATAACGGAAAAGTCGGTCGAGAGTGTAAAACATCGATATCGGGTAATCGTTGAATCTTCAGGCGTCGGTGTGAAGTTGCATTCGTTTTTCGAATTTTTTAAACGTATCTCGATAGTGACGGAAGTGTGTCGGAAAGTTATATCGGGCGATCGTCATATTACGGGTTTTTTATTTCTTCGCGGGTGTATCGCGCATCCACAATCGTACGTCGGGGTGCCAAATTTATTTTTGGTTGACGTGATAATAAAGGCAAGTGATGATAATCAGCTCTTTTGATACGATATTCATGTTCGGTATTTCTTATTTGTATTTTGGGCCGTGAAAGGTGTGTAGGTGAAAAATATTTTTAGATATCTGATATATGAATTGTGAGGATAGAAGCGAAAAAACATTTTGTTAATAAAAAATACAAATAATAACATTTATTGTTTAAAGAAGGGATGTAAAAGAATGGAGTAATAATATATTTTATGTTTCGTATGAATAATTGTTTTAGTAATATTTCATATTACAAAATAGTTGTGAATATTATTATTGTCAAGGCACATATCAATCAGTTGAATGCATGTGGAATGTTAAACGATAGATAACAAAAGCATTTATTGCATTTTCTATTATAATTTATTTGATTCAACAAGTAAAAATATCCGTTATATTAAATTCCAGTATTTCTCAGCACATTATCTAATCCTTCAATTTCTTCGCAGGTTCCTTACGAGGGGTTTATCCCAGCGACAGCGTCGTCTTCGTCGAAGTGCCGCCTCCGCCTCTGCCGTCGCGCACGGGGTATCGAACAGCGTGGTGAGCAGCGCCGCGGCGCTACCTGCCGCCGCGTCGGCTATATAAATGCTCGGCGCCGTCGGACGCGCTCAGTATGTGTCATGCATTGCGAGCGCGATTGTCGTCTGTGATGGCGGCCCGAGTGCGGTTGAAGATTCACCGCGGCACCGGCGTGTCGCCGCTCGCTGCTCTGCTCGCTGTGTGCGCTGTGTTGAGTCTTGTGAGTGGGATGTTCGAGCATCGGCACTGCGGCCACAAACATCCACGAGCACACGAGGTAAGTGCATTTACAAGCATTGCGAAGGGCGATTCTAACCTCTCTTTTGCTTCGTACGGCGACGGTCGCTGTCTCCTTCCTTCGCGCATTCACATACGTCGATGTATTCTGCGATGCAATATTTAGACCAGTACCTATTCGTCGGATATAAATATTTGGTGTCTACAAATCGCTTTTTGTTTACCTCCCGACGAATTTTTACCCTTTTGTTGGAAGGAATGTTTGTTTGAAGGTAACAGTATCAGTTATTGTCATTCGTGACAGTAGGCGTCGCGTGCGTTCACACGTGTTAGTTTCTCTCGCACATATAGCATAGTGGTCATACAGTTCTTTACACAGATTGTGCATAACGACGGTTATCAAACACTTTAATATGTTCTTTACCACGTTTTATAGAATCTCGTAATATTACGGTGCTAATAGTAATCCGAATAAATTTTATATGGCAACATTGTTACATTCATTCGCATTGTGCGGTTTATGTATTTTTATAATTACGAGCTTTTGTGTAGAATTGCCCTGCAGCATCATACATGATATTTATAGCGATTGAGATGTGTGTTATTTCATTCACGTGCACTGCGCCATTCCCACGTTGTACTAACAGAAGGAAACTTGGGTGAATGTTTCCATGCGCGCTGGGGGGGAGGGGGAAACACGTGTTTTCGTAGCAGACACGTGCTGCTGCGGGATGTCTTGCCGCGCTGACCTTTAACTGCTCTCGCGTCGCGTTTTACGCACAATCAGTCTCATTGAAGCTTATTGTACGATTGGATGGATGTTCATTGAATCAATTTTTGAGTTGAATAGTGAAATTAAGTCACATGATATCTTCTTTAACACCTTTTTTCCGTTTAATCTTTGCATGGATGAGATCCATGCAAAATAATATAATATAATTAAGCAATATATAAGTTGTTCAATGTATGATTTTGAGAGTAAGTACGTTAACTTAATTTATGCGCAATATAAAAATGATCACTTTAGGCAATCGTTAAAAATAATGTAAAATAACTATTAAGTATGACAATATAATTTCAAAGAAGGTTCAATGTATAATATTTCTATATTTTTATTGTCATCATAGCAGTTTATCCAATTTGCATACCAGTTATTTATGTCGTTACGTCGAATAAAACGAAACTATGTTTAGATGAGATAAATTGCGTAATGAATCTAATTTCCTGTTACACGTTCTCGGTACATTTTATAAAATTTGTTTAAACATTGCATTATCGACACCATTATTAGCTATTTTATTAAAGCTCTATCTCATTTGCCGTAATAGGTATTCTTTAAATTAAATAATATTATATAGAACGAATTTTGTTGCTATTGGAATTTGATGGTCGATTTATAACGTTGCAGCAATTGTATCATCACGATAATATTAATTACAATATTATAAATATTAATTGTCACGCAATATTATATTGCAAATTTATCGATCTATAAGATATTCCACTATCTAATACCATTTTGCCACCACTGAATACATTTCACTGAGCAAAAATACCAAGGCAGCAATAGTTTTTGCATAATAAGCATCGAAAAAAAAAGAATATTTTTATTTCTAGTACTTGATTACATTATAAAATTAAATTCTACAGTTTGAAATAATGTTTTCTGCAGAAATTTAATTAGAGGTTGAACGATTGGAAACTCGAATACAATAACAACTAATATTGAAAACTGAAAAGTTTTGAAAAAAATGTCTCATTAAAATTCAGTCAAAGAAAAATAAAGGTTATTTCAGTCAAAGGTTCCATAGAGATGAAAAGAATGGCGAGATTGATGGAATATATGTTATATCGAAGAGCTTGTATCGTTTATTGGATATTGTAGTAGTTTTATGTAGATTTTAATTTTGCTTTTTAAAAGCAGACTATATATATATATGTCGCGCATGATAGGAAACAATAGATGAACAATAGATGAATGTGGTAGAATTTTTGAAATAGTAGACAAACAATTCAGTTTTTGTTTTAATTTCGAATTCTTCTTTGGGTCGAAAAAATAGACTCAATTTACTGGGTCGGAACAGTTGGTGAACGTATAATTCTCTATTCGCGGAACGAAGTAATTTGATATCGACTGACATTTCATCAGATTTGACAATTTTTGCTCGCGGACGTTGACATAGCTATGATAAAAGTATTTTTATAAAAATAGTTTATGAAAAAGCACAATGTTTCTTGATCTCTAATTCGTTATAATATTCGTTATAATTCTATATAAGCGCGAAAAACTTTTTCTCACGAAAAATGACAAAGATTTTTTATAATTATAAATAATTATAAAATGTTGATTACTATCAAGCTTTTATATGTGATTAGATATATTTTATGTTAAAAATCAGTCCATGGTAATTTCTGTTTTCAATCCATAACGCAAGAATATTTTCATGCCACTTCGACATACAAATTCAAGTCAAAAGTGATTTTTTTCTTTGGAAACTTGTTTATTTTCTTGCGTTAAAAAATAGTTTTCCATTTTGACAGGAAATTGGGTGAAAAACCAGAATATTCGATGTGGTACAATATTGTGCCTGTGGCTATTTCAGAGTTTGAGCAGCCGATTCTATTGTTCCTATACACTATGCGAATTTAGATATCATTCAAAACAAAAATAAAAGGATTTTAACATTTGATTTTTTTTTATTGGAGAAAATGAAAAGTAAACGAGAAAAACGTATATTCTCCCGCGACACGTTAAAAATACACTATATCTAGAACAAAATTTATACGATTATATACGTATATGCATAATTATTAATGTTTCAAATTCTCTTATTCGTATTTTGAACAAAAATATAATAAAAATATTTTTGTTACACTGTCGATAAATTAAGCTTTTTTTTCCGCCAATAGTTAGGATATTTGTGGCGCAACTTGTTCCGCGCTACAAACTAGCCAGTTTCTAACGATCTCACGAACGACTGCTCGTAGCCGAGGTGTACGGCGATGTTTCGTACGTGAGTATATTCGTTTTAAGGGCCGTTCTAAAAAGAATTTGAATGCGAATATAAAAGTTTACAATCGACGCGGCGTTCCACTCGCGTATGCAGTATCGCGTCTCCGCTCGTGCTTGTCGCCTCATGACATTGCGCACCAATATTTGCGAAACTTTCTGTCTGACGATCTCGCCGTCATCACATACCGATTTCGCGCTCTCTTAAGGAAATAATACACGTTTTGATGCTATCGCTTCCTTATTCCGTACGGGAGCCTTGCGAGAAAAAGCGCGGTAGAGTTATGCGTCCTTCGCTGGCGTCCTGCCAGCTGTTTACCGGTTGCTTTCTTTTTCACCAATCTAATAAGATGGGAAAGTTGGAATATTCCTCTTAAATCGATATTGTATATCGTGTAAAATTATCTTCCTGCGAATCTTGTTGCGGAGAAAGTACATTTTGGATGTCACAATTTTTTTTTTTTCTTATGTAAAACATGTGTTACGTAATGATTTAGGAGCGTAAAAAATTTTCACTCGTAAATCGCGATTTTAATTATAAAATTGCACATGAGAAAATTAATTACATTAGATTAAACACATGAATAAGAAGGAAATTTGAAACTCATAGTATCAGAATTTAAATCTGTTTGACGTGACGCAGTTGCACTCGTAATATCTATAAAAGAGATAATTACACGTAATATCACGTAATTTGCTTTTCCTGCGAAGAGAAGTGTCGAGTTTTCATTACGATTATCCTCGTAATTTTCTCCGGCAGCGAGAAGAACGCGCGGCACGAGTGTCAAGTTTTCATTACGATTATCGGAAGTACTTCGCGCTCTCTTGCAATCGCGGCGGGAATAAAAGTAAAACGAAGGTCGCGCGATTTCATAGGAAAAACTTTCCTACGAGCGCTTCAATGAGAGTGTACGCGAATGGAATTTCGCTGGCGTACACGTACGCGCGGGCGCGCTTACAATCCGATATTTTTCTCCGGCTCTGATTTATTTACGAGGTGGTCGGCTGAAACCTCGCGCAGGGAGGTTATTAAGAAACTCGATTCCCATCGAAGTTTATGGGCTTCGTGAGACGTGCAACGATATACTCGACGGTGGAGGGGGGGGGGGGGCTCAAATAGGGTTGGACGTCATAGAAACCGGACACGTGAGCTTTACGTATTGCGTTTATTTGACGATCCTTCGGCACGGATCGATCGAGCAAAGGCGTTAAAACCTATAAATGCAAATTAAGCTAAATTAAAATAAATTATTACAATTTATCGTGTATTAAAAGGTTTTATTTATATCGATTACGCAATGCATTATAATACATTTGTGAATAAGGAATAAATATCTGTAGGCAGATTGATATTTTCGGATCGCAAATCTGATTTGAGAAGATTTAAAACTCTAGGCACGCACGAGCCGCGTTTTATCCCAAGCGAATATGGAAACACGTGCAGACTTCGTGTGTTCCGGCGCGCGACCGCTTTAATATACTCGTATTAGCTGTTAATCAGGTCGGGCATACAACGTTCCTCATTAGTAGCTTCTGATTACACGGGCTACTTAAATCAGCACGCAACAAAGCTTTCTAAATTGTTGTTTGAATATTACATTACTTCTGCGAGCGTCGGAGAGGATTTAGTAACGAACGTACCGCGTCTATAACCAAGATCATGCATTATATCCAAATGGTTACAGCAACGACAGCGCATTGAACGTGCAAATTAAATCTTGTCTTGTATGTTGTAATAATGATGTGGTAACAGCGCCACCGTCTCTTATCAATAAATAATTATTGCCGTGTCACGCTATATGTCGCTCACGACACGCGCTATGCTTCTTATTTACTCTGTTATTTTCTTAAAATACTCATGATACACACATAAGTGGCGTATTTAAGCGGCGAATCTGACCGTTCGTTACGCGTTCCGAGATATATTCTGCAGCAATTGATTGCGTGTATCGCAAGAGGATTTTCCGCGATGAGAAACATCTTTCACACGAATATCTTTTATACATCAACGAAGGTCTTTAATATGGTGT